ACTATAAAAAGACCCAAAGGAGGCTAAGGCTCCTTTAAATAGGGACACAAACCCCGGGACTTAGGGTTTCACTTGCTAGATCCTACTCGCCGAGTCCCACTAGTGGACTCGCCGGGTCAATCACTAAAGTCGCGATCCAATCCCGCTGCTACTCAACGAGTAGGGTAACCGACTCGTCGAGTAGGGACAAAACCAAGAAACTATAATTTGAACAATACCTGAGAATCGGAGCGTTACAAAATTGTTGAGGGGGAGCTTAATATGTCGAAATAATAATCAATATGAAACTTTTCATGATTTAAATGATAACATTTCTGTTGCAGGTTCTGAGACGGAAGAAATGTTCGAAGATGCGCCATTAGATTTTGATTCAGCATATCCTCCAATGGATAAATGGATTAAAAGTCATCCTAAAGAACAAGTGACAGGAGATCCACATGAAGGAGTGTTGACTAGAGCTCAACTACGTGCAAAGAATGAGGTACTTAATGCTCATCAAGAGTTTTGTATGTTTAATGTTTTTATTTCAAAAATTAAACCAAAGTCAGTTAAGGCTGCAATGGAACACTCAGATTGGGTTGTTGCAATGCAATCTGAATTGGCTGAATTCGAAAGAAACAACGTTTGGAAATTAATTCCTAAACCAAAAGATGTTTCGATTGTTGGGTTAAAATGGATTTTGAAAAATAAAATAGACAAAGATGATAATATTGTTCGAAAGAAAGCTAGGCATGTAGTAAAAGGTTATTCGCAACAAGAAGGTATAGATTATGAAGAAACATTCACCCTTGTCGCAAGACTCGAGGCTGTTCGAATATTTTTAGCCTATGCAGCACATAAAGATTTCAACGTTTATCAAATGGATGTCAAATGTGCATTTCCTAATGGTGAACTCGAAGAGACTGTGTATGTGGAACAACCTCCAGGTTTTATTCACAAAGAATTTCCTAATCATTGTTATATCCTAGATAAAGTTTTTTATGGGTTAAAACAAGCACCACGAGCCTACTATGAAACTCTGACCAACTTTTTGAAACTTTCGAAATTTAAACAATGATCAGTTGATCCCACTTTTTCGAAAGAAGGTTGGAAATCATCTAATGCTTGTTCAAATTTATGTTGATGATATCATTTTTGGCTCAACTGACCCTGGCTTGTCTAGTGAATTTGAAATTTTGATGAAAAGTAAATTCGAAATGAGTATGATGGGCAAAATCAACAATTTCTTAGGTTTAAACATTCGTCAAAGCAGGGAAGGAATTTTCATAAATCAAGAGAAGTATACTCGCAATCTTCATGAGAAATTTGGTATGACGAATAACGCCAAGCTTAGAGTACCAATGGTGGTTGGAAGGAAGTTGAGTCCTTCATTAGACAAACCAGCTGTGGACATCACTTTGTATCAAAGCATGATAGGTTCGTTACTTTACCTTACGACCGGTCGACCTGATATCATGTTTTCTGTGTGTAATTGTGTTAGGTACCAATCTAACCCAAAATAACCACATCTTATTACAGTCAAGAATATTTTTTGATATCTAAAAGGAACCATTTCGTTAGGATTATGGTGTCCTTTGAAAACATGATTTTTTATTCAAGCATTCTCAGATGCCGAATTGGGGGTTGCAATTTAGATCACAAAAGCGCAAGTGGTGGATGTCAATTACTTGTTGGGAAGCTTGTGAGCTGGCAATCGAAGAAACAAACATGTGTTTCGATTTCAACGACATAAGCAGAATACGTGGCTGCCGCAACTTGCACTTCAAAAATCATATGGATCCAAAATCAGTTGCGTGATTATGCAATCAATATGAAGAAAATTCATTTGTATTGTGATTCACAAATTTCCATATGCATTTGTCACAACCCTGTGCAACATTCGAAAACTAAGCACATTGCTCTTCGTTATCATTTCATAAAAGATCATGTCGAAGATGGAAATATTGAAGTTCACTATGTAAAAACCACTGATCAGCTTGCTGGTATTTTTACAAAGCCTTTAGATGAAAAATCATTTGTGAGAATATTGGCAGGTCTAGGAATGATTGAAGGAAATTCAGTTCTTGGATTAGGTTCGAAAGATTGATATAACGGACATGGAGGACAGCTGTCGAAGTCAACGATTACTGTTCATAGACAACGCTTCAACATGCTTCGCTTTTGTTATCATGTTGTGTGGCTAAATGAAAAATCTTTGCAAGTTTGGTACATTTACTTTTCTTGTTTTCGAATTTTTTTTTTAATGTAACTTCTTCTCGAAAAATCAAAAATAACAAAAATATTTTACTTTTGTTTTGTCTTTAAATTTCAAAAAATCAAAAACTCCAAAAATATTTTCTTAATTTTTGATTTTCTTTTCTTAAACAAAAATAAAAAAAGATTTTCTTGTTTTTGGTGTTCGTATTTCATTTTATTAATGAAGCTTTTAGCGAAGATCATCAATGGTTCATGCTTGCAGTTCTAGGGTCAGGTATATTTTCGAAAAACTTTATACTAGTTAGGATGTCCCTAGAAGCATGCTGCAGCATGTTGACCAAGCCTCCTTTGACTCAATATGTGTTGTCGAAGCCTTAATGAAGTTTTCAACATGAAAATTTCTTTCGAATCAGGCTGTATTCATCCTAAAGTTCTTGCACTTTCACACACAATGACATATGTCCAAGAGATTTCTGGTATAAAGCAATCAGGATCTAGACATATCAAGACTATGTGTTTATGATCTAACATGATGAGACGTTAATGGAAGAGAAACCCTAATTATCGAATAAATTTAAGGAATTAACAGGGAACTTTGTTCCAGAATTAACGAAACATTTGTTTCAGTACCTGTTTTTGATACACAAAATCATATTTTTTTTCTTTGTAGTAATCTTGATCAAATGTTTGAAACCTATGATATTTGTTACCCAACAAGATTTATGACTACTTTTGGTTTCAAGAATATGATTTCCATCTAAGTATCATTCTTAACCTTCGTTACTTGATAAATTTTCCAAAGCTTACTTGTCACTAACTTCACTGGTCAAACAGGTAATTTCGTTTACAAATTGACACTCATATGTTTTATAGTGCATTGTAACGAAATTTTAAACCACCTGCGAAGCCATGCAAAAAGAATCCCTTCGATACTTCTCAACAAGTATTCGATTGTAATTCACGGGAAACCACACAAGTTGTTGATCATCTCTCTTGATGATTAGCGAAGCAATCTTTGCCCGGGATTTATCTGCTTTTATGTTGAAATTATGTTTTTAACATCATAGATCCATATTTTTCTTATTTTGCTTCTTATCTTTTTCCTTGGCACACTGCACTCATGAAATCCTTAAGGTTCTGAGTATAACCAACTCAGGCTGATGATTTCGAAATTCTGGCATATGACTTTGTTTTTTAACCTAAAAGTGAAAGAACCTAACCTCCATTCTGAAGGTTTCTAATGGTTCTCATTCTCTTAGGGCAAGTTACCAAGCTGTATGAAGTGATGTTTTGTATTCTGATCCGGGTTTCAAGGAAAAGTGATGATCACTTTAACAGGTGTGGCTATTTTATCGGCTAATTGGTACGATTTTCAAGGAGACACATTAGCAGTAATTAATGCTAAAACCGCTTCAAATTCAAATTCTAGGTTAGCTATATAAAGGGTTTATGGGGTACATTCCAAGTTTACGCTTTCTGACTATCCCTAAATCATAAGAACACTTTGTCTTTTTCATTATTCTTTAAACCCTAATCATGGATGCTCCTAACACCATTGTTGATCCATCCCAAACTACTGATGACATCTCTTCGCAACCATTGATGAAGATCCAAAATACAAACTTTTAGGTTCAAAGTGATGTTTCTGTGTATCCTGAAGAGTTGCAGATTTTGGTAGTTGCTCTTCAAAACTCTGTTTTATCAAAGGCGATGTTCAATGCTTTTGTTGTATCGGTTTCATGGTTATCTCTTGCTGGATCAACTACAACATACAGAAAAATATTGGATACCATTATGTTTTCTCTTGTGAATGAGAAGAAAATTCGCTTATCAAAGAAGAATTTTGCTCAGATTCTGGGAATCCCCAATGTTGCTCCTTTTTACAAGGTAACCAATGAGCAAACTCTTTACATGTTTAATGAAATAGGTTACCAGCCACATCTTACCAAAATAAGTGATTTTAAGAAGTCTGGATTGCCATGCTTATGAAAATTTTTCTTTGGAATTTACTCTTCGATGTCTCACTGGACGAACTATGGGTTTAGACAAGAGAAGGTTGGAGGTGTATGTGATGGTCGTAGGGTTGTATTATGATTTGCAGGTGTATTATGTGACTCATTTATGGAATGAATTTGTTAAAAGTGTTGGGAACACTAATGTTGTGGATGGAATTTCTTATGCTCGCTACTGGAGCATCATTTTGCAGTTTGCTTATGAGAAGGAGGGGATCAATGTTCCTCAAGAAGAAGACACTGCATCATTTTCACTATTTCACTTTCCTAAAATAGTTGAGGATGATGTGGATGTTTTTACCATGGTTGCTCACATTCCTGATGTGATGTTTCACAAAATTAATCCTGCTCATCCGGTGTTGGTTCAATATTTGAAAACAATTAATACAGATGTTGAAACTGGAGTATTGTTATCTCCTTCGAAGACGAAGACGAAGAAAGGTTCAAAGAAGAATGTCGAGAGTTCTTCTAGATCATCACCTCATAAAGTTGTCAAGAAATCTAAGAATCACGAACACAGTGAGCCACCTCCAATTGTTGCTAAGAAACCAGAAGTAACTTAAGCTGAGGCTACAACTTTACCATCCAAGTCTGGTGTTTTCAAGAAATTGAAAAAAAAGGCACGTCAATTATCTCCTACTTACAAAGTTAAACCTCAAGTTACTCAAAAAGGGGTTATTTTTAGAGAAGTTCAAGAACCAGTTTCTCCTGCATCAAAGAAACGAAGGGCAGAAGATATGGCCAAACATCTTTCGAAAAAGCAAAAGACGAAACTTCGAAAGTTGGTTATTAATGATGAATTCTATAGAAGACGAAGTGATTCCAGATTCACCTGTGCCAAACTCTCCAATGAGATCAAATGTCGAAACTTCTATTCATGTTATAATATACGTTGTTTCTTCAAAAGTTTCTACACCGGTGCAGATTGTTCTTACTCCACCTCCAGTGTCAACTATTGAAACTTCCCGTGATCAAGGTACTTCTCATCTTGTTGTTTCTTCTACCTTCGATACTTCCACAATAGATACTTCCACTTCATTGCCTCCATTTGTTTATACTCCAATTGTTGCCCACTCACCCACATTCGACAATGTTCTCAAACAACCCATTACATCATTATTTTCCTCCCAATCCACCGATCCACTTGTTACTCACGAAGAAGAACAAACCCCATATGATGATGAAGAGAATGAGTTTGATGGAACATTTGCTGACATTCAGTTTGATATGGAAGAGGAGAATATTCCAGATAATATGATTCTTACAAGGAAACAATTCAAAATCGTCAATCGAAAGCTTAAATCACTTTTACAAATTCAAGCTGATGGATGAGGTAAACATTTGGTATCCAGTTTGGAGGTTGATATGTTGTTAAAACGTCAAGAAAATCATCTTCATGATGCCATTCAAGATGCTGATCGGAACAATGAAAAAAGGGTGAAGGCACAGTTATCGGCTTTTACTTCTGACCTAAAAGAGTTGAAGGCTGTGGCGAAGGAGAGACATATCTTGTTTATTCAAGATGTCACGAAAGTTCGTGAATATGTCAATTTAAAAGTTCAAGAAATCAGGAAGGATATGAGCAAAGAGATTGCAGTTGTACAACAAGATTATGCTTCTCTTAATCAGAAAGTTGATATCATAGCTGATGTTGTTACAAAGTTTGTTAAATTGTATGAAGCACTTGGCCCGAAGGTCGAGCAGATGTCTGCGGATGAAGTTAAATTTTTTTTGAATATCAATCAATTGTTAGTTGAATTGAAAGGGTTGGTGCTCAAATCGAGTTTGGGGTAATCTGCGTTGATCACTTCAGAGCTTCTTACACAGAAGTTTTCTGTTCTCGAATCCACTATTCAAAAGCAGTTAGATCCTTTGTCGAAATTGCATACTGTTCTGTCAACAAATGCCCCACCTGTTTCAACTAGGGTGCAAGGGGAGAGAGGATTGGTGTTGGCAAGGGTTCGTTGTTTGGAACTGGTGGTAGTTCGTCGAAGACAAATGATGAAGATGCAAAAGTAGTGGGAAAGGTTTCTTCGACTCAAATTCCTATTTCTTCAATATCTACTTCAACAATTTCGACATCCACAACAACAACTACAAGGCCTATAACAAAAGGTATAGTTATTGGTGGTTCATTTTCTGGGGGATCAAGTTCGAAACCACATCCTACTACATAAGAGTTACAGAATAAAGGGAAGGGTGTTTTACAAGAACCTATAGTTGAAGAAAAGAAGGCTGCTGCAAAACGTGAAATGGAGAAACAAAGACAAATATAAAGCATACGTCAACTCAGAGAAAGTAATCCCCCTGGGATGAACAAAGGAGATCCTGCTAAGTATTTTAACTATGAATACATCGAAGCCATGGTTCTATCTGGTGAGATGCATTCTTTTAGCAAGATTCCTAAAAAGAGTTATGATATTGAAAACAATAATATTAATCAGTTAAATTTTTCCATAAATCTGATAACGTTTCGTGATTAGAAATTTAAGCTTGCAAATGAGTTCCTTGATAAGGAGGAGCACAGAAAATTGAAGTATAGATTCCATGAAGTGTTGGGAAGGAATGAAGATTCAGTTTGGTCTTTAGTGAAATTTTTTCGAGTTCTAAACCTTACCAAGGATGTGTTATTCGAAGGAATGTTATAGAAATACAGATATATTGTAGTAAGAGCGAACAATATGGTGTTTGACTTCTTAGTTGTTGATTTCCCATTAATGAAACTATATGATCTTTTAATTGTTGCGAAGATATTGAAGTCAATTGATTATTCGAAGATGCAACAAGTTAACAAGGAAGATTTCATTATAGGTTTCGAACACTTAAGGGTATTCATTGATGGTTACTATGGAGCCCTAGCCAAAACTGATATTGATCTGCCTACAACGTTGGGAAAGAAAGTGTTTGTTCCCAAATCGATGATCAAAAATCAATCTTTTCTTAAAGATTACGAAGATGGGGAGATATGTTTGAAGCCCTTGGGGATTGTGTTCGTGGGAAAGAATAAGAAGGGTACATCAACAAGTTTTGTTTCAAGTAAACAAAATTGAAAGATTCACTTCTTCGAATTACACAAATTTATTGATTCAAATGAACCATTCTGCGAAGAATAATGATCAGGAGAAAGTTGAGATTCAGAAAATAATCAACTGGTACTCTGAGATAAGAAGAGTGTTACACCAAGTTGCTCAACTGCTCACAACCTGATTTCGACACTAATTACAAAGGGGGAGATTGTAGATGTCGAAGTGTGTTGTAATGTGTCGAAAGTATTTGAGTAGTTTCAAATGTTAGTTATCTATTTACAAAGGCACTTGAGTTTCGAATCTGTATTGTAATAGTCCTTTGTATTTTTGTATGCTTTTTATTTCTCCTATAAGTAGGGGTTGATATTTAGAGATAAATAGAACTTTTCACCTTGTATTCTGTCTAAACTCTCTCTGTATTTTGAAAGCATAAATAAGCTGAAACAAGATTATATTTACTCTCACTGTTTATAATTCTTAAACACAATATTTAACAAATAATAAAATGTGGTTTATGAACGCTTAAAAAATGTTTGTGTAACGTGTTAGTGATGGCAGTCGTCAAAGATATTATGGTTGTTAATTATTTTGACCAACATTATTTATGTGGTTTCCAAAACTTACGAATGATCGTTTTTGCTCACACCATGACTTTTTATCCGTTAAGCCCTATCACGTGCCTCATATGTGGTATATTTTGGTCTTTTTAGGTTTGGATCTCTCCAATAATTAGTAATGAAATTTTCATCCATTAACTCGTTTTGCCCCGAATTCGATTGCATCTTCTAGATGTTTAAATAAGCATGCAAATAATCATCATAGCAAGCATTCAAGCATACACGATTGGTTTCACTTCCATCTATGTTTAGTTTTAGTATATGTATTTAGGTTTTGAGTTACACGAGATTTCTATGGTTTTGATTTATATTTTAGACAAAAAAAAATTCAAGTGATAAAAGTATGAAAAACAATGTATTTGATTGATTTAACAACAATACAAGAAACTCGCATTCCAGTGATTCAAATAGTTCTTCCAAAGAATGTTGTTTTTCTCCTCCTCCTCCTCTTGGGTGGTCTATTAGAAAAACGCAGTTGATTGGTAAATATGGTGATGTTTATGAAGATGAAGCGAAATTAAATTCCATTTGGAAGATGATTTCAAATTTGACGTTTAGTAGTTTTGATATTGATTTGTTTGATTTATTTCTTCCGGGAGAAACAAAATTTTCAGGATTTTATTTTTGTAAGTTTATATCTCACAAAATTGATTTGATTAAATCTCACCAAACCAGATTCATGTTTTCTAGGACAACAAAATTTGTATGTTTTTATGTTTATCTATTAAAAATTGACTTCGTCGATTTTTTGATTATCTAACTTTTTTTCTTCTGCAATTTTAAGTTGCTTAAAACAGAGATGATGAAAGAAAGATTTGTTAAATTGTTGACCGAAGAAGATTGCTAAAACAGAGATAATGAAAGAGAGATTTGCTAAACTGTTGAATGATGAAGATATAGGTTTGCAAGTGGTAAAGGCGTTTGCACAACTTTAGCCATTACAACTTGCTTATGGTTTGTGTTCATCACTTTTTGGTTTAATCATCATCCCTAAAAATGATTAAGAAGATTAACGTTTAATGGAAATACTGGATAATTTCATTAACACAAAGTTCTGATACGTTGATCAAGAGATAGTAGCTTTCAGGCTCAATCTCTTTCCGGAAACATCAACACCACCAGGAAAAGTGTGGTTCTCGATGTCAAGTTTCCCTTCTGACGGCCTTTCAAAGGACACCATGAAATAGTTTACTCACAAACTTAAAAATATCAAATTACAGGCACGTGTTGTGGATTAATAGATGAAAAGTCATGATGTGAACAAAAAAATCATTCTCATAAAGTTTTGGAAACCATAAGAATCATGTTCAACAAAAGAATTAACAAAAATTGAGATTGAAACAGATAAACCATTTCCACCATTTATATAATTAATTATGTCTTAATATCACTATATTAATTTTAGTACTATTTTTCATCTTAAACAATATAATAGAAGATACCATGATCTTCATCAAAAGTTATTAAATATTTGTTTTATCAAGAATAACTGTAAATGAGTTGTTATCATCATCACTCATCAGATCTCCACCTGAACAATATTTGATTTGAGGGAACAAAAGTGGCCTTTCACGACTGAAACCATTGTTGAACGCCAAATATCTTTTACCGTTTGTATTTTAGTGCTCTTTTCCCCTAATTTATATCATGTGTATTTTGAAGAGACGTGTGTGAATTCTAGTGCTGTGTAGATAGATATAAATATCGCAGACCTCCGTCTCTACAGATCTGAAAACTCCATTGTTCAAGATTCAAGCAACCTGAACCTCCCCACTAATCTCTTACAATCATTGAAGCTCAATCACTGTGTGTTTCTGTTTGTAAGCCTCGAAAGATCATGGTATTTCAAAACGATGACAAGAATTCAGAAGCAAGTTCATCATCCCATGTGTTGAATCTCCCAAGAGAAACAACCCCACTTCTCAATTCAAAATCCCTACATCAATCCTCCCAATTCAAGACTTTCGCTAATGTTTTCATTGCCATCGTCGGCGCCGGAGTCCTCGGCCTCCCTTACACCTTCAAACGCACTGGATACGCCACCGGAACCCTCACTGTATTCGCCGTCGCGTACTTCACCCAACACTGTATGATGCTGCTCGTCAAAACCCGACGGAAACTCGAATCACTCAACGGATTCTCCAAAATCAATTCCTTCGGAGACCTCGGCTTCGTCGTCGCCGGCCCCATCGGCCGGTCATCCGTAGACATAATGATCGTCCTTTCTCAAGCTGGATTCTGCGTAAGTTACCTAATTTTCGTCTCCAACACCCTGGTTAACATCTTCAATTTCACATCACCATCAAATCCCACAACCCCCAACATTCTAGGGTTATCAGCCAAAACATTTTACATCTGGGCATGTTTTCCCTTCCAATTAGGGTTAAACTCAATTCCAACATTAACCCATTTAGCCCCTCTAAGCATATTCGCAGACGTAGTAGATCTCGGCGCCATGGGTGTGGTTATGGTGGAAGAAGTGATCATCTACCTGAATTCTAGCCCAGTTTTGCAAGCATTTGGTGGGTTTTCTGCGTTCTTTTACGGAATCGGAGTAGCAGTTTACTCTTTCGAAGGGATTGGAATGGTATTACCAATAGAAACAGAGATGGAAAACAAGAACAAGTTTGGTAAAGTATTGGGTATAACAATAGCTTTCATTGCTATAATGTTTGCATCTTTTGGTATATTTGGTTACTTTGCATTTGGTGATGAAACAAAAGACATAATCACTACAAATTTAGGACAAGGGTGGTTAAGCTCTGTGGTTCAATTGGGTCTTTGTTTGAATCTGTTCTTCACTTTTCCCATAATGATGAACCCTGTTTATGAAGTTTTCGAGAGGATGTTTTGTGAAGGGATGTATAGTTTATGGGTGAGATGGGTTACTGTTTTAGTGGTGAGTTTAGTGGCTCTTTGTGTGCCTAATTTTGCTGATTTCTTGTCTTTAGTGGGTAGTAGTGTTTGCATAGTGTTAGGGTTTGTGTTGCCTGCTTTGTTTCATTTAATGGTGTATAGAAATGAGTTGGGTTGGATTGGGTGGGTCAAAGATGGAGCTCTTGTTGTTTTTGGTGCACTTTTGGCTATTAGTGGGACATGGAGTTCTTTGTTAGAGATTCTTGGAGCCAAAGCTTAAAGGAGAAAGTTGTCATTTCATCATTAAGTCAACAAAGTAGTTAAAAGATGAGGCGATGGGATTTTTGAATGAAGATCTAAAGGAGCAAGTGAAATGGTGTGTGTGTTTTTGTGGATATGTATGGGGTTATATACATACAATAATGTAACCTTTGGTTTGATCTTGGTTCATGATTGTGAATCTTTTGAGTCATGATTGAGAGATGATACCAATGCAATGCAATGTCATGTTTGAATGATTGGTTGCATGAAGGTAAAGTTTGTATTTTGTTACATTACTTACATATAGCAATTTTATATTATAATGTGTTTGTTGTTCAGGTTCTTTGTTATGGGAAGTGTTTGTTTTGTATTGGCATGTATTCATGCGTGCAATATTTTCATTTTTATGTATTAATTGCAAGTTTTTAAGCAATTTTCTGGTGATATATGTACTTGTGTATTGTTGTTATTACTATGAACTATTGATGTCATTGATTATGATTGTCTATATATGTGTTTTTATCAAGTTAATATCATGTCGTACTTGCTATGGTTCTAATATGCCAAATCAAGAAAAACCAATTTAGATAATGGTGCAAAAAACCTGGTATAGATGAATAATCTAAAGGGTTTTTTCGTAATTTGTTTATGCCCACAATATAGCATACTGCATACCAATGTCATTGCAACATACATATCGTGCATTTAAGTTCTTGTGAGCACATTTATAGCGCTTGAGTCTTAGGCGGTGAATTTGAGAAATAAAGAGAAATCTCCAGAAAAGTTCTAAAATTTTGGATAAGTTTATGATCTAATCTTAAATTAAATTTCATTAATAAAAAAGGACAAAAAACCGGTTATTGTAATCATTTTTATCCATTTTTACTTTTTCACCAGGTTACTGCTGAGGAGGTGAGTGTCAAATGTACATGGATTCGAGAGGGGAGGGGGACTCACACTTGACTTCCCATTCACAAACCGGACAACTTACTATGTGAAGTAGAAGTAATTATTATTTTGTTTTCTTTATATTTTACCATGGTCAGAAACTTATATGGTGAACATTAGCATATTGTGAATTGTGACTATGAGAAAACAAGCACATGTTAACAACTCGCAAGTGCAAACATTAATATGTGATTTAACGGGAACACAAAGTGAAAAGTTGATAGTTAAAAGAACAACATATGGGCAACCCATATTTATCACATTTATGACCACAAAATGCTAAGCACAAATATGACCAAAATGTAAGAAACTAAAAGAAGCATTTAAAAAAGTGGATTCGAGTGGTGGACAAATTAAGTAAGGCCCCATGGAGTTGTATGAAAAGGAACGTTGAAACGCGTTGAAGAAAAATGTGACATTATTTTATGTTTAATATTTTTTAATGGATGTTACTATAAGTGTTCATATTAGGTCATTACAAATTAAACCGTTGATTAATCTTAATATCGAGAAAGGTTTTGATTTTTTTTTTAATTTTTTTTCTTTTTGTTGTCATTTCTTCTCAAATTATTATTATTATTATTATTATTATTAATTCTTTTTTCCAATAATAATGAGAATTAGTTAACATTTATTATTATTATTTTTTTTGAACCGGCAAACAGATAGAGGGTAACCAGACCTGATGGATCAGGAATGTCTAGCGGGTCACCAAGAGGGACACCACTCACCACTAAAGGGAACGAAGAATCGAACTCACGTCAATCCAAGGAAAATCTCTCAAATATGCTCAATCAAGAATCGAACTCTTGACCTCACCCACTCAGGCCTATTGACACATGTTCTAAACTTCGATGACCATTTATGTGAAATTAGTTAATAAGTGAGTATGATACATTTTTCATAATTATATCAAGTACCATTTATGCGAACGGCATTGAAAATGAATCAAATGTCACTAGTTTTTAATTGACAGATGACATTCAAATGAATCAAAATTCATCTTATAAAATAAAATAAATTGAATGGCAATACAAATCATTCAGTAAATTTATCATTCATTAAACTACGATAAGATTTTCATCAAACCAAATACACGTTTAAAACCGTGTATATACAATGGATAGTTTTCACACTAACCATGTATTATTTTTTATGGATGGCTTTCATATATTTTTTGGATGTTATATGTCTGTAAGGCTTACCAAATATTATACTTTCATTTTTTTTTTCATTTGTTAGGTGTTTAGCAATCGTGAAAATTTAATAAAGATGATGCAAAATGTCGAATGGTCTCTTGGGTACATGGTTGTTATTAAAAGAACAAAGCCAAAACTAAGTGGGTATGTGTTGATAGTTATTTTAATGTGTTATCAGGGTGGTGTGTTTAGAGTTATAGAGACATCCACGAGAGATATGTGAACAAAAAAAACAAATTGCTCATTTGAATTGTTTGTTTTTTACTATAAGATTGATGATGTTTGGAGGTTAAAAGTTAAAAATGATCAATATAATCATAGTGTATATGGAGGATCATCCATTTATAACGCAGTTGACCCAAAATGAATCACAAATGGTTGCAAAATTTAGAAAAAACAATGTCCCCCCAATGTAACATTCTATCGATGTTATCAATAGAATAGTCAAAATGATAACGACTTATCTACAATAAAAAACAACTTACAATGTGGAAAACAAAGTTCGAATGGATGAACATGCAAGAGACGAGATTTGTGGGGTTTTTTATTATTTATATTATTGTTATTTATAATATTTTTCAAATAATAATGATATTGAATAATGAATTTATCAAATAATTTAAAGAATATTAATAAAAGAAAATAAAAAGTTCAATTAATAATCAAGAGATACGTATACAATAATCTTTGTTTAATTTATAATATGAACATTCAAGATTTTTTGTAACCCTACTATAGATACAATAGAGTTTTACTGTAGATACAATAAAATACGAGAGAGATGATGGAAAGCGATACTCATTTTTTATTCATCGTACCAATCAAACCAAAAGGAACCGTAGGGAACAAAATATAAACGCCAAATATGTAGGGTTGGCTTAACACTTAGAAACTGAAATTTACGACTTTACCCCCAAACTAAATAAGAAAAATAAAAAGCATAAATATCCACTCCCCCATAAGCTAGATACGGGTATCAATTATCATCCGGCTTGTTCTTCATACTTTCGAAGCTCAACCCTTTCAACCCAACAATTACGATTTTACCCCAAAGCTAAATAAGGAAAAATAAAATGCAGAAATCTTCATACATCATTAAATGGGACTATGAATTAGCAGTGTAGGTAGGCTTATTTTTTTATACATGTCCTACATTATTCAATCCATCAACTTTAATTTACATATGTAATTATCTATCTATACATAGAAACAAAGAATCAATGTGCAAAAAACTAAAATGCCTTCCAAGCATCTACAGAATCTCTTCTTGGTGTTTCACTCTGCAACTGGTTGTTCGATGCAAAAGGATCTGCATCATCAAAAGATGGGAATCCATGATTGGAATCAGCAGTGCTTCGCATGGAATCAAACCTTGCGAATGATTCACGAGGCTGGAATAGCGAATGGCCGAAATCGGAATCAGCAATGCTGTTCATGGAATCAAATCTTGTAAACTTTTGAGGAGGGAAGAATCCCTGATCCACTTCGGAATCCTGTGTCGTGCTACGGAATGAATCGAATCTTGAAAACGAGTCGATTCCGATTCCATTGTCGCGAGTTGTAGTGCTGCTGAAGGAGTCGAATCTAGAGAAGTTATTGAACGAATGATCATCAAACATGGGTGTGCTCGGAACGGAATCTGCAAAAACGGGATTGGAAATGGAATTGCGATGAGGAGAACCGGCGTTACTGTAAGCAGGTGTGCTTGGAATGGAATCAGCAAAAGCTGAAAATGGGGGTTGGTTATGGAACAAATTGTTTCCGGGAGGGGAACCGGAATAGCTATATGCCGGAGTGCTTGGAATGGAATCAAACTTTGGGAGCTCTGTTCTTATGGGATTTAAATCAAATAACGTATTATTCCCATTAACACTCTCTTCTTCCAAATCCTGCAAAAAGCAAATCAGAAAAAATGATCATTTTTGTATAAACAATTAGCAATAAGGAAGCAGATACCTTATGGTTTGTAGCAGTAAAATCCCAACCAGCTTCTGAATCATAATTACTGTCAAATGTAGGCTTGTCTGCCTCAGATTCACTGCATCAGTAAAAACATACAAATATTTAATAAAACTTTATATATAAAAACCACAGTGACACTAATATTACTTCACCTCTTAACAGCATGGGGTGAGATATCTTCAGGTGGGAAATCTTGGAATATCTTAGATTGACTCTGTGTTGACTTAATGCTAGCAGGGCTATCAGGTGGTGATTTTACAATTTTACCCTTATCTTGAAGGTCTGATTCCCTGTCCTTGACTCCTGTGGTTGAAGATGAAGTCTCATTTTGGAAGGCAGACTTGTTTTGAACTGGCAAGGACTTTTGTTTTGGAGGAGCTAAAACATTTTGCACATCAAGTGTGAGATCTTTCACAAATGTAAATCCTGCAAATTCCATAGATTCATCAGAATGTAAAATATAAGGGTATTAAGGTCATTAACCGATTTCGGCTTAGGTTGTATTTGGTTTACCTTCATCTTCAAAGTTATCCCAGTTTTCATCCCAATCAGCTGCTGCTTCTTGAATGCCACCTTGCCAACCTGAATAAATATAAAAAATATATAATTTAACATGAAGACTTTAACAAAATATTAATATATATATATATATATATATATATATATATATATATATATATATATATATTGGACATGAGATTACCAAAGGGAAGCTCAAGCAACAATGATGGTTTCCCACGCAATCCATACATCTTGCAGCGTTCATTTAGGGTTTTTATTTGTTCCTCAAGATCCGATTGAATGCGATCAGCTAAAACCTAGAAATTGTATTATTACAAATGGTTATGAATTACAAAAAGTTACATAAAAGGTAGCAAAATGCATAAATGATACCTGAATATCATCAGGTTTTCCACCCTGATCTAGCTTCACTATTGCTCGATAAATCTCCATCTTTTTTTCCTAAAGAATACAACTCACATTTAATCTCATCGCCCAAGATTTTATAAAAATGGAGTATTCTTTTTTTTTTTTTTTAATTTGTAAAAGTAAAACCTGAATGTCACGAAAAGTGGCCTCCTCAATAGTCAATTTAGAAGCTACATCACCAGCCTGTTTGTATTTGTCTTCATATTTCTTTGACAGTGATTCAACCTCTCTCCTATCAGAAATTACCCTTTCTGTAACCTCATTCAATCGATTATCACACCTGCTCTTGTACAAAACCTAACATTGAAGAACAGAAAATAAAGATGATATAACAGTTTTACAAGATTAAAAGTTAAAACACTATGAAAAGAGAGAATTTACAATTTCCTGCATCTTGTTTCTGTAAAACTCGGTCTTTTGTGTAGCTTCAAGTATCTCTTTTTCAAGTTCACCAACCTTTTTATCTGCTTCAGTTGCCTCCTGAAACTTTGAATTCAATGAACTTTGTTCTTCATTACTAAGTTGATCCACTAGATGCTTTTCCAATACAGGAACTTTAGGCTTTTGGTGTTTAGGCTGCAAATCTTTATCTATAGGAACTGGAACTGGATGAGGTGGCCTTGCTGCAGGATGAGTGACCTGTTGTTGGTTGACACCTGGCATAAATAGAACATGATTATATGAATCTTGAATTTGGAAACATGATTAGTATCTATCTACCTGGAAACATGATTGGTGTCCCCTCAAACAGAATGCCAGATGGAAGTGTTTTAGGAAGAGAGTGGCCTTCCCTGTGTCTCTCCATGAGGAAGAGAGCAATACAAAATTCATGCAATGAAAGCATGCTGTCATTGTCTTGATCAGATAAGTCCCATACCTGTTTTAGGATATCTGAAACCCAAGAATAAGTATAAGATGAAGATGAAGATTTGAAGCAAATTGAGAAACTGATAAATGTCAAGTGTCGATAAATTTGTTGAAAGAAAATGATGCAGTGATTACCTCTTGGCAATTCCCAACCCAAGAACAGAGTTCGGGCCTGTTCACCTGTGATTTTTCCATCTCTATCTGTATCAACTTTCACAAAAATCTTGGTGTACTTTTGGACATTGGATTGTGTCATTTTTGGCCATGGTTGAGTAGAAGGAAGGTTTCCACTTCTAACAGGAATTCGCTGATTGTTAGGCTGTAAATGCTGGTTGTGATTATGAACAACATTTGGTTGTTGGGCAATATTGTGGTTCCCCTGAGATGAATCTTTAACTTCTGTAGAAAAAATAGGACCATTTGGTTTGGATGCAACCATGTTTTCCCTTGGTTGTCCATGACTCATGTTAGGAAGTTGTGTCACATGTGGATGTGGCCTCATGTTTTGATTTTGGTGAGATGGATAACCCTGTGGAACTCTATGAGAAGCTGGTGGAGCACTTGCAGGTATCTGTAGTGCAGGTGGAGCTGGATTTGAGCTTGACTGAGGTGCAGGTAAGGCTGCAAGATTGATCTGAGGTGGAGGAATTTTAGCAGAAGCAGGTCCATATAATGCTGCCTTCACTATATCTGAAGTAAGCTCCCTCTTACTTTGTGCAACTGTTACAAGTTTGAGAGCATTGTAAAACTCTGGTCTTCCAAGGTAACCAGTTCGGTTTTGATCAGCATGTGTCCATATCTACAACAAGAACATTGGGTAAATACAGAGAAACGAGCACATTAACCCTAAATTCACATCATACAAATACATATTGACGTAAGAACCACGACGGATGATCGCATAATTTTTACACTCATATATCTTATTATATTATTTATTCAAGTTCAAATGCATTTGGGGTGTTGCAAAAATTAAACACTACTACATGCAGAACTAGCGGTAAAACACAAAGATGGTAACCTGGGCGAGAACCGGCGTAGGTAAACCAGAGGCTTGAAAGAAGGAAACAGCTTCGGCGCCACTAATCCGACCGTCTTGATCCGAATCTGCTCGTTTGAAGTACAATTCGAATTGATCCATATTCGGTGTCCCACCCGCCATTTATTCCACCGACCACCAATCAATTCGGGTCAGAACCAGCGAATTGATATAATCGAATTAGATGATCTAAGAGAAGTGTAAGAATAACCGGCATGAACTAATCGAATTCATTACATGTAGCGAAAAAGATTTGTTTCGGAATTATATGTAGAACATAAGATCTGCAGCGAAGGGTTTAGGGATCGTGGAATCGAGAGGATTGTATCAGAGACTTTTTTGGTCTCGGAGTGAAGAGAGTTGGATCATCGACCGAGAAGGGGCTTGAAGGTAATTAGTCGATTTATGGGATGGAGGCTGCCGCCAGCCGCTGCAACCACCGCGAGTCGGTTTGAGTTTTTGACAAAATAATTAATAAATCTTATATTGTTATAAAATATGATCAAATAACAATATAAATTATAGAGTAAAGAAAGATATGAGAGTAGAGAGAACTTTTATTCCAATACTTGTGATGAATTCATATAGTACCTAATACATATGGCTCACTATTTATACTATCCAAATAAGATGAAAGATGAGCTACAATATGAATGCACATTATGATGGTGTATTATTACATTCATAAAACACATTGAAATGATTATTACTAATGCTAAATAATGATGGAGAGTTATGGGAGAAATGAAGAATCCAATGGTCATTCACAAACTAATATTTCATAACACTCCCCCTTGAATGACGATTGTATCATGCCTCGTTAAAACCTTAATAGGTAAAACCTCATGGGAAAAACCATTTGTTAAGGAAAAAAGAGTACATGATTAATAATAGATATTTGGAACAATTGCCTCGTTAAAAACCTTGCTAAGAAAACCCAGTGGGAAAAACATAGCTAAGGAAAAGAGTACAATGTGTTTCCAGCTCCCCCTGATCATCACATCACTTGATTTCCTTAAAGCGTCACATTCCAATATTTTGTACCATGTTTTCAAATTTGGATGTAGGGAGCGCTTTAGTGAAAAAATCTGCCAAATTCTTACTTGATTGAATTTTTTGGATGTTGATGCCACGCTCTTTTTGAAGATCATGAGTAAAAAAAACTTTAGTGATATATGTTTGGTTCTATCTCCTTTGATAAACCCTTCCTTGAATTGGGCTATACAAGCCGCATTATCTTCATATAGTATGGTTGCAACGTCCCTCATGAATTGCTCCACAAGTGAATAAATAACCTCGAAGATATCGAAGAATGTGTTTGACTCCACTCTAATGTCTTCTTGTTGGGCAAGAAATATATCTTGCTAATAAGTTTACAGCAAAAGATATATCAGGTCTCGTATTATTAGCAAGATACATTAGTGCACCAATAACATTAAGATATGGTACTTCAGGACCAAGAAGTTTTTCATTTTTTTCACAAGACCGAAACGGGTCCTTTTTGACATCTAAATTCCTTACTACCATCGGGGTACTCAATGGATGCGAGTTATCCATATAAAACTTTTTAAGCACCTTTTCTAGATAACTAGATTGATGTACAAAAACTCCATTTTTTGATGTGCTCAATTTGAAGACCTAAACAAAATTTCGTTTTACCAAGATCTTTCATTTCAAAATTTTCTTTCAATCAAGAAGTGGCATTTTCCAATTCTCCAGGAGTTCCAATTATGTTCAAATCATCTACGTAAACAACATTTATCACAAATTCTGATCCGGATCTTTTTATGAATACACATGGGCTTAATGGATCATTTTTATAGCCCACTTTTAAAAGAAATGTACTTAAACAATTGAACCACATACGAGCAGATTGTTTCAATCCATACAAAGATTTATTTAATTTTACCGAATATACTTCACGAGAATTAGGAGTTTGTGCTTCTGGCACCTTACGCATCTCCAATTTTTCATGTGTTGTCAGACTTATTAGATAACGGAATGTAATTGCATCAATCACAGGAGAGTATGTTTCTTCATAATCAATTTCGGGCCTTTGGGTAAAACCTTGTGCAACAAGTCTTGCTTTATATCTCACAACTTCATTCTTCTTGTTTCTTTTTGCGCACAAATACCCATTTGTATCCCACTGGTCTTACTCCATTTGGTGTACGAACTACAGGTCCAAAAACTTTTCGTTGAGTAAGAGAATTAAGCTCTTTGTTTATTGCATCTTTCCATTTTGGCCAATCTTTTCTATTTCTACATTCATCTATAGATTTTGGTTCAACATCCTCATTTTCTTCCATAATCTCGCACGCAACATGATATGAAAAATTATCGTCGACGTCTATCTTATTTCGGTTCCATCTTATTCCTGTCATGACATAATTTATTGAGATCTCTTCATTTTCGTAATTTTCAGGTACCCGGTTTCTTTTGTTATGTCATTGGGCTCTTCTGGAGCTTCATTAATCTTTTCAAAAGATTATGTTTTCTCTTTTGGACCATCAATTATATTTGCTCCCTTTCATTTTCGAGGATTTTTATCTTTGGAACCGGTTAGTCTTCCACGCTTCAGGCGTGCCTTTGATTCATTTGTAGTTGTATTTTTTTCCTTCTGGGATATCAATTCTAACTTGAGTAAGTATAGCTGGTACATGAAACTTTGTTACCCACTTAGGGTCAGTAAATGCTTCTGGCAATTGATTTGCTACATTTTGTAAATGAATTATCTTTTTTATTTCAAGTTCACATTGACTTGAACGAGGATCTAACACTGAAAGTGATAATTCATTCCAAGAGATTTTATTCTCCATCTTCTTTATTTCTCCCCCTAATGTTGGAAAAACTGATTCATCAAAATGACAATCGTCAAATCTAGCTGTAAATAAATCTCCAGTTGATGGTTCTAAATATTTTACTATAGATGGAGATTCGTATCCAACATAAAGTCCCATTCTTCTTTGAGGACCCATTTTCGTGCGGTGAGGTGGAGAAATGGGTACATAAATTGCACATCCGAACGTCCTTAGATGGAAAATATTTGGTACATGGCCGCAAACCAGTTGAATAGGGGAGAACTTATGATAACTAGTTGGCCTGATGCGTATAAGTGATGCCGCATGTAAAATTGCATGTCCCCATGTCGATGTAGGAAGTTTAGAATGCATTAGTAATGGTCTTGCAATTAATTGAAGGCGTTTGATTAACGACTCAGCTAAACCATTTTGTGTATGAACATATGCAACAGGATGTTCAATAGTTATCCCAATCGACATGCAATAGTCATTAAAAGCTTGTGATGTAAATTCCCCAGCATTGTCAAGTCGAATTTTCTTAATTGGGTAATCGGGAAAATGTGCCCTTAGGCGGATTATTTGTGCTAGTAATCTTGCGAAAGCGAGATTACGGCTAGATAATAAGCACACATGTGACCATCTAGTTGACGCGTCAATTAAGACCATAAAATATCTAAATGGTCCACATGGTGGATGAATTGGTCCACATATATCCCCTTGAATTCTTTCTAAAAATCTAGGACTTTCATACCCAACTTTATTCAATGATAGACGGGAAATTAATTTTCCTTGAGAACATGCAACACAAGACAATTCATTAGCTTGAAAAATCTTCTGGTTTTTCAAGGAATTTCCACTTGAACTTTCAATTATTTTGCGCATCATAACTGATCCGGGATGGCCCAACCGTTCATACCGAACTTTGTAGATGTTATCATACCTTTTATTTTCAATAGCATGAGATTCAATCATTCTAATATTTGTATAATACAATCCGGAGGACAATACGGGTAATTTTTCCAAAAAACTTTTCTTATCCGATAACATTTTTGTAATGTTGAGATAATTTTTATTACCATCATTAGTTGTTTCAATAGGATATCCGTTAGACCGAATATCCTTAAAACTAAATAAATTTCTTGGTGATTTTAATAAAAATAATGCATCACCAATTGTAATTATTTCCACTTGTGGTAATACTATATTCGCTCTTCTGGAGCCTTCAATCTTGGTGATTTAGACGAAAATAATGCATCACTAATTTTTAATTAGTGTCCCTTTTTGTAATATAATATTCGCTCTTCCGGAGCCTTCAATCATTTTTGCATTACCTGTTATTATATTAACATTTGCTTCTCTAATTGATAAGTAAGCAAAATACTTTTCATTATTAAAAATGCTATGTGTTATTGTATTGTCTGCAAGAAATATATCTTTATTATTTCTTTTGCGAATATCCATGTTTCTTTTCAATAAATAAATAAAACATAAGAAACATTCGACTTAGAGAAATAAATTCATATTTTATTAATTTGGGAAGATTGTGACGACATCATTTCTCATGAAACGAATATGACATAAAAACATAATAAATATCATGAAACAAAACTTTACATTATGCTGATCAATCACCATCTATATCACCACTTGTCCCTTCGGGGTAGACAAGAAAATCGACAACATCCAAATGTGTCATTTCTGGTTGATCTTGATGGATATCACTTTGAATAAAATTTGTTTCGATATTTTTCTTTATATTTTAGAGAATCTTGATAAAGATCAACAAAATGCTTTGGTAAGCGGCATGTACAAGACTAATGATCGGTCATTCCACATTAGTGATAAACATTTTCAACTTTTTTTTTCCTTGACCACTTTTATCATTAGGATGTGGATTTTTGCTATTTTCCAACTTCTGGTGGTTATTTGTAATATTGTTATTTTTATGATGATTATGATAACCTCCATGACCTCGGTTAGACCCATGACTATTATGATTATATGATGTTGCATTCAATTCAGGGAATGTACTAGAACTGGTCGGGATTGATTGATCATTTTTCATCAATTCCACAATCTCGGTTAGACTCATGACTATTATGATTATATGAGTTACATTCACTTCAGGGAATGTACTAGAACCGGTCGGGATTGATTGATAATTTTTTATCAATAACTCATTGTTTTGTTTAGCCACAAGAAGATATGAGATTAATTCATATTTATTTTAAACATTTCTCATGATATTGCTACTGCAGGAGCATGTTAATAGTATGAAAACTAGAAAAAGTTTTCTCTAACATTGTTTTCCATAATGAAAATAGAAATCAAAATAAAGACTTGTAATGTAAGGAATTGTTAGTTAAGAAATTCCATAAAATAAGTTGTAAGCATTGTACATGTAAAATTATAAAAAATACATACCTGAAAATTACAAGAACAATAAGGAGTTAGAGCTCTATGGTAGAGTCGTGCTGATAACGTGTTATAAAATATGATCAAATAACAATATAAATTATAGAGTAAAGAAAGATATGAGAGTAGAGAGAACTTTTATTCCAATACTTGTGATGAATTCATATAGTGCCTAATACATATGGCTCACTATTTATACTATCCAAATAAGATGAAAGATGAGCTACAATATGAATGCACATTATGATGGTGTATTATTACATTCATAAAACACATTGAAATGGTTGTTACTAATGCTAAATAATGATGGAGAGTTATGGGAGAAATGGAGAATCCAATGGTCATTCACAAACTAATATTTCATAACATATATAAAATATTAACAATATATATTAATATCTAGGCTTTAGTTAATCTTCCAAAGTATATTTATCACACCATTTTTCATTAGATATATTTAAAGATTTTTTGAAGATTAACATCACAAAATAACAGTTGATAATAATTAATATGATGTTAATCTTTTAATTATTTTCAAATATAATAGTAGATCATTAAACTTAGTATTTGATTTTTCATTATAC